CGGAAATAACTCACCTCTTCTCCTCTTTTAAGAGCTTACGCAATTTCTCAGCGCTGCTCTGACTGCTTTTGGCTTTCTCTTCCCCTTCCTTCGCCAGCGCTTCTTCCCGCAGGCGAATGGAATTCTTTACGCACGCCGGGCGAGACAATTCAAGGCACGGTCAACGGTGAGAAATTTAAAATCAGCGCCAGCGCATCACACGGGACAGCGAAGCCGTAGATGGAAGGCGGTTGTTTCGCGGAGGACGAGTAAAGTACGGCACGACGCAAACAAAAGGTGAATTGTTTTTACAGGGCGGAGTTACAGTGATGTGTTGACCATTGAAAAAGTGGCGGCATCCAAGAAATGGGGGAGAGGCAGATTGTCAGACCGAGTTTTGAGCAGTTGTGAGCAGAGACAGAAAGGTGACAAGGTTACCGTTGGTGGATCACGGGCCAGGGTTGGAACGGTACGCAGCGGAGGAGTCGTCATTTTCCACAGTCAATTCCCCCCCGCGTGACAAAGGCCGTGTCAGTCAGAAGGGCAAGTGCCAGGGCCGCAAACAGATGCGCACACACACACACGCAAACAAAACAAAAAAAAATCTCATCAGTATTACAAACCACACGGACGAAATGAACCTCCTAAGAGGAAAAACATCTGCTGGGGGAAAAAAACAAACAAACAAACAAACAAACAAGCGACCACGTGAATGCTCCCGGATGACAAAATGCTCCTGTGTCAGTTCTGCCAAAATGGTCGGCGTGAGCAGAGGCCACTTGGCAGAAATAAATCCACCAGAAGAGTCACATGATAATATTCTTACAGCAAGAATAAAATGTTTTTGGTTTTTTGTTTTTGAACCGCTCACATTTGTTTGACCTGAACATTTTTGCTTTGACATTGAGGCACTTTGTTGTTAAAAAAAAACAAAGACAAAAAAAAAAACACAACCTGGCAAGAGCGCTAACAACGAACGTGTATTGCGATTGCTTCCTTGCCATCTTGATCAGATTTTCATTTTTTTTGTCATTCAAACCGTGGCTCGGGAAGTCAGCCCCCTTCAGCATGCGCGATACAGGCCGAGACGACTTAGCGATCGAGCGAGCGTGGCTGCACACACGCCGGAAAGTGCTCGCGTGTTGTGGCCCACCCACCTGTATGGTCTCGGTGATTTTTCTCAAGGCCTCCTGAGCTTCGGGGTTTGCGTCATCCAGAGAAAGCGCTCGTCTGTACACTCCTTCCGCTGTCACGAGCTTCTCTTGTTCCTCGAGTCTACGCGGGAGAAACGAGTCGCGTCAAGGGAGGTTTGAGTGGCGCCAATTTGAGAAAAGAGTCCCTTCGTGCTCATTCGCCCATACGAAAATCGTTTTAAAGCGATCCTCAGCCATCTCTGGAAAAACGCGCCTATTTGCCGTTTTTTTGTGCTACGACCAAACGATCTTGGCGTCGAGGACGTACGTACGGATGCATTGTGCTCTGACAGGACTGGAGATATGGAGTGGCTGTTCTGTGCATTTGAAATTGTAGCATTTGATCAAAAAAAAAACATTTTCAAAATAGGATTTTTTTCCCCCCTAAGTTGACTACACCACCTTGCAACTCAAAAGCAGATGAGCATCAGTGGGCTAAACTCGGAGGCGAGAGTAAGAACATTTTAGAAAATGGAAAAGAGGAGGCCACGCTCGTCACACAAATGCGTTTCGTATTTCGTGGAGGAGCCCCAAATGCGCAACTTACTGTTTTCCTCTCTCAACCAGTGTTTGGCAGAGGTACTTCTTGGCATTGCGGTGATCCGGGCACGTCTCCAGGGCCAATTCGAAGTCCGATATCGCCTTCAGGATCACGCCTTTATTTGCATACCTGAGGATGGAAACCAATCCAATCAAGTCATGATCAACAATAACAATCTTTCCAGTGTCAAATGTATTTTGCCCCCGCGCAACTCACAGAGCGCCGCGCGCGACCAGCGCTTCCACGTTATTGGTGTCGATGTCCAAAGCTTTGTTGTACTCATTCATGGCTTCCACATGGCGACCCTGCTTGAAGTGGCCCACACCAGCCTTAACACTGCGGGGGTGGGGGGGTTGATGTGTCATTTATGTCTTGCGAAAAAACACAACCAAGTCAAAAGCGCCCCAACTTTTACCATTTCAAGGCCCAGGATACCGACTGCTTCTTCCGGATGACGGACGCAAAATCTTCTTTTGCAAACAGTTGACTGGAAGACGAGTGACAGATGAGCACGGCATTGCAGCGACCATCGCAGCGGTGGTATTTTGGGGCTGTCAGCTAGCCCAGCGTCTCCCCAAATCATATCGTCGACGTGCAACGGGTGAGGAACGGCAGTGGCCACGTTTACCTTTGGAGCCCTCGCATCATGGACGGAGGATGGACGTCGCTGACGCCGATGTTCTCCAGCAGGTAGTCCACCACGCAGGGGTTGTGGTAGCCGTGGCAACCCCTCAGTATGCGCTCGTACGTCTTGCTGAAGTCACTGGCTGCGCAAACACTCCGACTGGGACGCCACGTGAGACGCGCCGTGATTAGCAAAGTGTATTCGTCCGCGCTGGTTGGCATTCGGTTTATTTTGAAGTGCTATTTGGTGTCCTCACTCGTATTGTACGGGCAGCTCCTCCCTAGTCACGACTCCGAGTTGGATGCAGTCTGATCTGCCAGAAATGGATGCTTGCAGAAGCGAGACGGTTATTTTTTCCTGGTAGCGGTCGATATCTTTCACAACGGCTACAAAACAAACGTAAAAAGAAATAAGTTGGCGTTACAACAAAGTGTACTTGTGTTTTTATTGCTCGAATGAAACACGAATGCTCTGTCCACCATTTTCCAAAATTGGCGTTCAAATCAACAGAATGAAGATTTTTGTCACCTCTGATGAAGTCCCCAATCTGGTAGTAGGACAAAGGATCGTCGTGGCTGCCAGCTGAGGGAATTTCTTTAATGTGACAAAGAGCCTGGGATTGAAAAAGAAATCAGTTTTCAGTTAAGAAGACAAATGTGAAGCGAGGACACCGAAAACGGAGCGGTGACGACGGATCGGCATTTGAAAATGTTTCCACGATCGACTGAGGAGGCCGCACTCATTTCGCCGATTGACAGGAGGCCCTCCCCGAATTCTCTCAAATGCATCTTGATGCCATTTTGAGTAGGATAACGCAGCCCAAATGTGTTTGGCTGTCGCTCGGGTTTCTAAACCGGTGTTGTCCGAACGACGGCCCAGGGGGCCATTTGCGGCCCGCCATCCATTTTCAACGTTTGGCAACGATTGGTTCTTGGCTAACGAGGCCACCGCGTACAAGGCCGTGATCTTACCGATAACTCCAGGTCTTCGATGTCTCTGTTCAGCCCGCCCGCCATGCAAATGAGCGTGAGAAAGAAGCCATATTCGCGAACGTTGTTGATCCTCCCCACCACGATGTCTCCTCGTTCTAAATCCCGGTAAAGCATGGTCCTTCTCTCTTCAAAAGGCACCTCCATGAATAACTCCAGGGGGGGCATGACAGCATAAGCCTCTGGAAAGAACATTACGAGCATTACAATCACTTAGATGAGTTTTTAGGTCTGAGCGAATAATGACATCAAACTGTCACTCGGGCTAAGCTCTGCCCAGATTTAAAATGAATAATAAAAAATTATTTAAAAACTCTGGAGTTGTATCTGGCTGCTCAGCACAATACAAGCAATAAATTGAATTTAATAGCAGTTGTAGACACAACTACAGTAAGAAGATGCTTATGCTATTAGCATAGAGCCAAAAGGACAACGGTTGTGGCAAGTGCTGGCATCAAAAATGACCTGAAATGCTCGCAAACGTCTTTGCAACACCGAAAACTTCAACTCCATCAGGTGTCTTCAATTCACTTGAGATCATTTCCTCTGGGTTCATTTGGAAGACAATAAGCCTCGCACAAAAGATTTGTTGAATTTTAGAGGGTCGCCATCGTACGCCTGATAATAACGAATAATTCTTTGGATTTATTTTAACCAAGCTCATCGCGGCAATTTAACAAAGGTAAAAAAAAAAGTCGGCCATTTCATGCATCAAGTTACCGTCCCATTTTAAGATGAATAAAAATAAGGTTCGAATGCAGGGATTTCATTGGCTGGATCCGGACAAAGCGTTAAGCGTGGACAACCTGCGGCTTCCTCCTGTCGGGGTTCTTCTTCTTCTTTCGGAGTTGCAGTCTTCCACGATGGACTGAAAAGAATGTCAGCCTTCCGAGCAATGAACTGCTCCACAAGGGGGCTGCTCTGCTCTTCGCCATTTCTGTCAAGGCGCACAAATGTATGATGTCATTTCAGAGTTGAAGCTGAAAAGTCACACCACAGCCTTGCCTGACAAAATAAAAGTGCTTTGCTGCCATCTTGTGGCAAAAAAAATTAGAAACCTTGAGAAGGGGCCGCAGATGGGAGAATGCCCCTTCCAGCATGACCAGGCTGCAATGGATGCCGAGTGGGCAACATTTCAAACAAGATCGTGCTAAGGTTTGGAGATGACGAAGGAAGGAAGGCTTACCCCTCATACGGAGCCTTACACAGGTCAGCCACCACGGCTTGAAAGTCGGGATTCTCAGTCTGTTCACATTTCAATGTGCTGAACAAGGACTCTCCGTGATACGTCAGACACTGCCTCAACAAGTCTCTGTCCATTATGCGCAGAAGACGGGCTTACATTATTTCTCTCGGGAAAATAAATACATAAGGTAACCACAATCGTTGCCAGACAAACAGGATTGTGGAAGGGCATTGAAGGAAGCTAACGATCGAACCGATTTGGTCTGAGCAATATATCAAACTAGCACGATTACTAGCATTGCAAACTTGCAAGCAAATGAAACCGAACGACGGATTACGCCTTCGTTCACTATTTTCGAAAACAAAAAACGGGAAAAAAAACAGCAGTTCGATAATAAACGGTTCATACAAGATTATGATTTATCCCGAATGAAACGCTTTTTTTTCTCCCCAACGTACTACTACGATGAGTGTTCTCTGCTTAAATGTCAACGGAGCCACACGCAGCCATGGGACTGAGCATGCGCACACGGTGTTACACAATAAATGGTCGTTTCAAACAAATCACCACGAGGAACCTCATTTAGGCTCTGACAGTGTCTACCGTGAATAAAATAATGGATATTATTAATATCCATTATTTTATTATGTTACCAATAATAATAGCATATTATTATTGGTAACATAGTCAGGCCCTAGGCTGTTGTAGATAAAACAATCATACTACTTTCTTTATAAAGTAAACAAATACATTATCGTATTTTCAGAAACACGAGAAAACAGAAGCCAAAAATATATAGCCAATCCCACAAACCTGTACTGTATACTGTATTCACAACATTTAAAGAAACACATCTTGCACGAAGGAAATTGCATGCCTATGAAAACTCAAGTTTATCAACTCACAACGTGAAAACTTGAGAAGGAGCTGAGTGGAACCACACATATGCTCAAAACCTGTTTGGCAGTCTTAAAGTGAATTTGTTCTTTTGTTGTTTAAATTCTGTTCATTGTCTGCTTATTAGTAGCCACCTGACACCAACACCAACTGGCTAATATCCATTGAAAAGGCTCCATTGTCTGGACATTGCAAGTCCCCCGCCCCTCTCTCCAGTCCAGTTTGATCATGCTAACTGGTGTGTGTGTGTGCGTGTGTACTATAGTTGTTGGCGGGGAAATAACCTGGTTCCACATCTGTTTTCATCACCTGATTGAAAAGTTGTAGAAAATGGATGGAGAGACAGAATAATTTTATGATGCAGGTGCATCCCAATGCATTAGAATCTTGTGGGAAACTTCAAATATTTTAGTACCGTTAGGTCATTCCAAAGTGAAACTCATCTGTATAATAAGAATCTTATATTTCACCATTTTGCTTGGCTGTACCGCCCTCTGTATATTCCTTGCTCAATAGGTGAGGGTGGAGCATTAACAGGGAAATAGCAAAATGCAAATACACCATCCTGGAAATGAGAGACTAATACTTAACATCAATGCTGGCTGGAGACACTCAACCTGGTTGACACCATGAAGATGAAAAGTAAAATCCTTTCTTGGATATATTTGCACGGCTGTTTGTATGCATCTTTTCAAGGTAACTCGCTTTAACGTCTTGGTTTGACAAATTTCTTGCTCAGAGGTGTAGAACATAGTAGTGAAAATTGATCTCTTGGCTAACACTTGCACTTGAACTGAATCATGATCCATCACTTGTGTGCAGTTTGTGAGCAATGGGCACATTTCATTTTTGAACATCACCTGAAATGATCATGAAATTGATGTTATTTAAAAGTATGAGCAAGTCACTCACAATTTCATTTGATGAGAACGTAGACGCCACTTTACCACTTTGCAAACCTCTTACAACTGCCCTTAAAAAAAACCCTAAAAAATGGCTGATTTTATTTGTTGAAGGCAGCAGCAAGCAGCTTTGGATGGCGATTCAACGGTGAAAGCGGGGAACGTTTTCAGGTGTAAAGAGGAGTTGCTTACCGTTGAACTATGACTGTGAAAGCTGTTACGGAATAGGCCTGTCAAGGTTCACTATGGTGACAGTTGGGCAAAGTTTATTTCCACCACGATTGGCTAAACATGTATTGCTGTATAAGTACAGTTCACAGGGCCATTATACTGATTCAGTCTCAAACTGCCGCAGTTATCGATTCATCTTGGCCAACCATGACTCCAGGAACCAGTACTGTGGCGGCAACAGAAGATGAGAAATGGCTCACGCCTGCGAATCAAACAAACACAACAGCAACGAGCAGTGTGCTCGACATCACAGCTGACCACCAACACGGAACAACCACCACGGAGAAGGATTTGAGAACCAAATCAAGAGCTGCCATTTCAGCAGTAACGTCCGTGACTGCTCCACCCCAAAACACAACAACCACATCGACAGCTACTACAGTGCCAAACACTACAGAAACAAACGCACCCGTGACTACAGAAGCTTCAGCCATTAGCATGACCACTTCCGCAACAACTAACACATTTCTGATGACCGCCATTACTACGCCGCAAAACACTACTACATCCACCACCATGACAGAAACAAACACAACCATGACTAGCGCAACTCAAAATACAAGTACAACCATATCAGCAACACCCGAGTCAATGAAAACCATGCCTCTGATGACTGCAACCCAAAATCCGTTAAAAAAGGACCTATCCGCAACGACTACAACAAGCGCAATCATGACGACAGAAAGTCAAAACACAACCAAATCCACAAGCCCTGCAACAGCAGGAACATCCACGGCAAACCTGCCTCAAAACACGACAACCACAAACATGTCCACACCTACTACAGTGGCAAATAGCAACGAATGTTCACCCACAACAAACAGATCCGCGATTACGGTAACTCCAGATACAACCGCGCCCACATCTGCAAGTAACACATCGAGGACGAGCATCACCAATACGCAGCAAAACAAAAGTCAATCCACATCTCGCTTCGTGCCAAGCACGACGGCAACAACTCGCGCAACAATGACGACCACACCGTACCTGATCAATACCACCGCATCCAAAATACGTGACGCAATGACGATCCCGCCGATGACTCCTGCAAGCCACAACACAACAACCAAACATCAGAACATGGCTACAAGCATACCCCAAACACCCGAAACGACGACTCCAATCACCACGACACCGGTAAACACAAACTTGTCGACAATGAACACAACTCAAAGCACCGCAGTCGCAACACCGACAAACACGAGAACCCAACAAAAAGATCCAATCGTATCCCCAACACCTGAAACAATGACAAGCATAGTTGTAAATACTGAAACACCAACCCTATTAAACGCGACCGTTTCAACAACTACCGATAGTCCAAGCATCACACCCACAACAACACGGACGAACGTGACTATCACAACTCAAAACACAAGCACAGCAACAGCATCAATGTCCGTGACTACTCCACCCCAAAACACGACTACTGCAACAAAATGGACAGCTAGCACAGTGCTAAATACCGCTCCCATCACCACGACATCGCAAAACACAACGGTACAGACATCGAGCAAAATACCAAGCACCGTAGTAGCAACAACAAAAACGACAACCTCAAACCACAACAGTCATGCGACGACAGCATTAAAAGGTGAAACAATCAGTATTCCAGTGACCACGACAACCCCAAGCCCATTAAACGCAAAAATATCCGCAAGCAGTACGGCACCGAGCACCGCCATGATTACAACAACCCAAAACACGATCACATCGACAAGTCCAGCAATAACGGCCACGACAACTGCGACCCAAAACCCATCTCGAGCGACGACAGACCCCAAAACTGCAGAATCTTCAACCACGACAAAGAGATCTGTGACTACTCCAGACGCAAGAAAGCCTACGCCGACAACAACTAACACTTCCTTGATAGACGACACCACCGCACCGCAACACACAACAACTATATCCGCGACGAGCCCAATGCCGAGCAAAATATCAACGCCTCACACAATGACGACCTCAACCCAAATCAGAAATACAATCACACCTCAAACAGCTGAAATCACAACAAGCACACTGGTGACGACTACAACGCAAAACACGAGTTCCAAAAGCCAGAGCTTGGATAAAACTACATCGCAAACAGCTGAAATGATGACAAGCACGCCAATGATTCCTGCTACCCAGAGGCCATTAAACACGACCGTATCCACATTCAGTACCGGAAGTCACAGCATGGAACTAACCGCATCCCAAACATCTGAAACGACGACAATTGTGATTCCTGAAACCCCAAACCCATCCAACACAAGCATTTCAACAACTAGTACAAGGCCGAGCACCACACGTGGAATAACAAGCACGACCATACTAACAAGTCCTGCAGCGGCACTAACGTCCAAGACGACTGCACCTCAAACCACAACAACTTCGACAGCTGCTTCGACAGCTGCTGCGGCACCAAGTACCACCAAATCTTCAACCAGAGCAAAGAGACCCACGACTACAGCTACTCCAGACGTCACCATGTCCACGCCAGAAACCGCTACTCCTAGAAGCATGACAACTAACATGATGCTAACCACCACGCTAACGCCCAAAACTACCACAACCCAAAACATAAATACAGCCACATCCCAAACACCTGAAACAATGACAACCACACCTGCAATGACCGCAACCCCAAATCCTATAAACACAACCACATCCCCAAATAATGCAACGCGAAGCACCACGCTGGCAGTGACAAAGACAGTCATGACTGCGATAATCCAAAACACAACCGCACCCGCAAGTCCCGCAACATCTGTGAATGCACTCCAAAACGCAACAACGCCAAACAAAACCGTGTCTACACCTCCACCAACGACGACATCGATGACTAGCATCAGCACTGCCCCGCAAAACCCAACCATATCCACAGCCAGCAGAATCCCGAGCGCCGCAACAAACACAACGGTGACTACCAAACGTCCGAACTTGAGTACAACCTTCTCACCAACCCCTGAGACAATGGCAAGCACGCCTGTGATGACTGCAACCCAACATCCGTTCAACACAACCAAATCCGCAATTAGCGCAACACAAAGCACCACGCTAGCAGCAACAACTCAAAACACAACAAGCGCTCCGACGGCAGTCAAATCCATGACTACTTCACCCCAAAACGCAACAACCGCAGCCACGCCTAGAACTACTCGAGGGCCAAATACCGGAGAATCATCGACCACAGCAAACAAATCTGTAACTACCCCAACTCCAGACACAGCCACGTCCACATCTGCAACCTCGTCCACCTCTATGACTACCATCACCAATACGCCACAAAACAAAATCGAATGGACATTTAGCCCGTTGCCAAGCACAACAGCAGCAAGACCAACTCCCACACCCCAAATCCTAAACACAACCATGTCCCAAGCGCCGGAAAAAATGCCAAACACACCTGTGACGATAAATAGAACAACGCCAAGCGCCGCACCTGCGGCGACACAGACGAACGTGACGATGGCACCCTTCAATCCAACCGCACCCACGAGTCCTGCCGCAGCGGTCATGTCCACGCATGCTACCGCGTCCAAAAGCACAACTTCCACACGGACAGCAACCCCGGTGTCGAGCGCGACGGATCCCTCAACCGCAGAAAACCGATCGGTGACGGCAGCAACTTCAGACACAACCGCGTCCGCACCTCCCATCCCCGCGACACCGCAAAGCACGACTGCATCCGCAAGGAGCGCGATACCAAACACCGCAACGGCGACGCCAGACGCAACACCGACTACCAAACGCCACAACGGCCACGCAATCAGTTCACTAACACCTGAAACAATGACAAGCACACCTGCGATTACCGCAAGGCCAAACCCAATCCACACGACCGATTCCAGAACCAGCACACCGCCCCGCACAACAACCATATTGACAAACGCCACGACGGTCAAAGGTAAATGACTACCTTGCGTTTCTTCTTACGGTATCGTTTTGTATCCGGTTTAGGGTCTATTCGAGATTTGTGTCACACAATCCCATGTTTGCCTTCCTCAATCCCACCCAGCGGGCCCCTTGTTTCTGGCCCAGTTAAAGATGACGTTAGATGTGACCGATGGGATCAGCAACGACCACATCGTACAATTTGTCGAAGCGGTAAGTGAAATTGAGGTCTTGCTTCGAGTCGCGTCGCACAATGTAAATCGTTTCTGTACAATGGTGACAAACATTTTGTCAGTGTCATTTTGACTTTGTTGTTTTTAATTCAGTTTTTCAGAGAGCAGCTTCTGACTAGAGCGTCCTACACCATCAACGTTACTCAAGTTCAAAGAATTGGCCCTTAAAGCTTTTGGTACTTTTTCTTTTGAACCACGTTTGATTGTGTTGTATGTTCACACACATGATTCTGTGGGTACGGTGTCCCATATAACCATGCTAGCGAATGTCCCATGTTTTTAAATAAAGAACTCCAAATGAATCTTTCAATAGCGCTCCATTCGTGTGCATTCAAGTTTAGAGAAGGTCAAATCATGAAGTTTACCAGTCGGTAAATGTTCGAGTGCATTTTGGGTTTATCCTGAACTAAAAAGAAAAACCTCAATCCGTATCTTTTTGTGAGTAGTGTATACACGCATACATGGTGCATTCTTGAATCAATTACCAGTCGTAGACTTCGTTTGTCAACTCAAATGTTTAATGTCATACCACTCAGAAAGCGTTTAAGAACAATTCCACACACTAAAAACCAAACCTTGGTCAGTTACACGACTTGGAACTTATACGTCCAGTCAATTAGAAATATTTTTTCTCAATTTGTAGTCAACATCTTTCGGTTGTCTTATTTGAGGGTCAGGGAGAGGCCTCATTACATGGAAACTTGATTTGGGTTTTTTTTTTTGTTAGCAGTTTTGACCGAGCTATTTCCCGACACTCACAAAAGGCACCCGAAGGAGTAGCTGCCTATTTAAAAAAAAAAAAATGTAGACGTTGTCCGTCCATACAAATTCGTTTTAAAAACAGCAATGAAAGAGATCAATTAGAAAACTGCGTTATCATAATCAACACACCCTCGATGACGTGATTATTGTCCAAAAATAGTTTTAGAACGAATCCTGGCAAGATGTGGACCGTAACTGATCCGTGAATTACGACGTTTCAACCTCCTTGCCTCCAGGAGCCTACAAGTAAAATGTTTTAATTCAAACAAGGTCCAACTACAATTTGGAACACATTTTATGAAGGAAAATTTTTGAATTGATATTTGGCAGTTCTACTCCAATGAGAGTTGTTATTTCCAACATCCTGATAAGTGGCACATTTTAATTGTGTTGTGACAACGAAAGCTCACGCTGTCAACCGGAGCGTGCGGCGGGTTGCGTCTGTCCTGTGGATGATCTCCATCTTGGCATCTCTCCAGACGTAATTCTCCCCTGGAAGGAGTTTAGAGGAAGCCGTAAGCACAAACTACAGCGGTTGAGCTGTAGCATCCCCCCGTGGATAACCTTACCTGTCAACCCCAAGTGTCTCACTTGACGCCTGGTAAGAGAACATTGATACAGAGCCGATGTCATTTTATTTCCTACGTTTGAAACAGCAATTGTGTATTACACGTGATAAAAGCACATCATGCACTTGGAATCCAACTGATTATTCGGGTTGATGCACGAGACCAAGGATGGGCAACTGGTCACTGTCGGGGGTCTTTTGGCGGCCTGTGGGGGTCCACTGTAGTCGAGGAAAAAAAAAAAATTTAATTTTAAAAATCAGAAAAATTAAAAAGTCAAAAATAAATTATTTTCTTCTTACATTGAAAATGTCGGAATAAGTTTCCTCTCCTATAGTGGACTCCAGCATACTTGCAGCACCCGCAGATTTGTACGTCTGCAAATTTGTATTTTTTAAATATTTTCAAAATGTTTTTTGTGTGGGGGAGACAACCCACATTTTTCATGGAAAGCGCATATTGGAGGCTTACCGGCATTTTTTTGAGGAATATTTTGGGTTTACAACCTCCCTACTCCCCACATTTTCCAAAATGTATTTCATTGGGCATCAATTATAATATTTTTAAAAAAATGCAGGCTGGCATGCATTCTGTCCATATTTAAAACGCATCAAGTTCGGAAGTGGGCGGCGCTCCAGTAGCGCTAATGAAAAATTGTGGCCCCTTCATTATTTGAAGTTGCCCATCCCTGCCCTTGTCACGAGAAGTAAACATAATGGATAGTATAAGTCTAGAAAAATGAATTATAAGTGCATGAAAAGAATCCAAATGGGGGGGGAAAAAAAAGTTGACCTGCATGTGTTCATGGTGGCAGAATATATACAGAGCACCCGGTCCTGCGATCCTGAGGACCCGCGCTGCAGTCCAGCCTTCCGCAGGTGCCACCGGGAGCAACAGAACCCCCTGCATGCACTGCAAATGAGCCATAAAAATCCCTCACCCCTAAAGTAATAAACCATCATGAGAAAAATGATCTTGTCATCTCTTTCTCCACTTCACACGTGACTGTGAAGATGAGCGGTAAGTCACACACGCGCACACCTGTAAATAGGAAAAGGAAAACCTTTGTCCGGCCCGTTTTGCAACCCGCCCTCGGAAAAGCACCGCCAAGCGACTCTCCATCTGTTTGGCGGACCACTGGCGGTCGATGGTGATCCGGGCGCTCAGTCCCATTGCAGAGAGCGCCGCTCGCTCTTTGCCTTGTGGCGCTCCGTTTCTGTGGAGACGCCGAGTAATACCGCATCATCCATTTTCCGGACAATTGTCTCACCGAAATCAACGGGAAATATTTGGTGGATTTCATCAAGTCACCTGGCGCTTTCTGTGTTGTAGTGACCTCTGGGTAAGCACAGCACATCTTTGACCACCAGCCCGGTCATCTGTGGAGTCACCCGCTTCCATTTCATTCGACTTGCTTTGTTTGAAGAGGCTGCGTGAAACGTCTGCAAGAGAGGTTTCAACATCGCTTTGCTCTTTTCTCCCAATGGTACGCAACAACGCCTGATTCTGGTGCCATGAAAGTTCACATTGGGATATTTACGCATTTGTATTGGACCAATAGCTTGGTAAATATTGGATGCGCATGTAACGGCAGTATCTAAAAGAATTTGCCAACTAGTAGTGTATGTCCGAAAACCAGAAACCCTGAACTCCTCACAGGTAGCACTGGTCAGTCATTCCAATTCCTAAACAAACATTTCAACTCCAGTAATTGAATCAGGAAGTTGTTTTATTTGAGCATTTTTTTTAAATTCCAAGGGGTGTGTGAATATTTTTTTATCAAACGGCATTTTATTTACAGTCTCGAATCTGAGTTCCTATACTTAAGTCACGAGCGTGTGGAAAAACAATTTGCATTGATCGACTGATGACATCATGTGCTTCTTTGAGTTGAGATTAGATTGTCAGCGCTCAGCGTGTGCAATACATTAAGGTCCGTGGAAGCGTTCTCTGACAGAATCAATCAGAAAAACAAAAAAACAAAAGGATGGTCTTTACCGGGGTGATGAGCCCTACGCGTTGAGCCTCAGACTTTGTGTGGTGAGGAAGCACCTGAGACACGAAGCAAACAGAGCAAGTCAAGCAGAGGATGCTTGACTGGCCTACTCTACTACAATTGTCCTCTCCATTCTGGAATTCTCCCCCCCGCCCCCAAAACCGGTCGAGGTATACATTCGTTATAATTAGCTAGTTTAGCATATTGCGCAAGCCACTTCACAACAGAAGGAAAGCTATGACTACATGTTTTGAAAGCATATAGCCAAGCCGGGCAACCCGGTTAGTGTGTCGACCTCACAGTACAGAGGTAGCGGGTTCAATTCCGGCTCTGGCCTCCCTGTGTGTGGCGTTTGCATGTTCTCCATGGGCCTGCGTGGGTTTTCTCCGGGTACTCCGGTTTCCTCACACATTTCAAAAACATGCATGGCAGGCTGATTGAACACTACGATTTGTCCCTAGGTGTGAATGTGAGCGCTGATGGTTGTTCGTCTTTGGGTGCCCTGCAATTGGCTGGCAACTGGTTCAGGGTGTCCCCTGCCTACTGGCCCAAAGGTGGCTGGGATAGGCTCCAGCCCTTCTCGCGACCCTTGTGAGGATAAAGCGGATCGGAAATTGGATGGCCAGCTAGCTCTTCAATAACAGCAAAATGCAGTTGTAATTTTATACTTTTATGTAAAAATGTAGATGTTGCTCCATCCACGCAAAGCCATCATTTTTCATCACGCCCTGATATCTCAACTCTTCACATTGTTTACCTCCATTTCTATCTCAATGTCCTCCATGAAGACGGGCGGAAGCGGACGGCTTTCACCGGTTATATTTTCCCTGACAGGGGTCACCGTGTCGGGTTTGGTCTTCTGTGGTCGGTCTTGATGGCCTGGGACATCCAATGTTGGCTCTTCCTCACAAATGCAGACCAGAGGGTGCTCCAAGTTCTTAAGCATTAAAAAATAAATAAATAAATAAATAAAAAAGTGGGTAAATTATGTCACTATCATTCTTCGATGGAACAGTGGCTGTTAACGGTAGTTGTGTTGATAGTACTGCTCGACTACAATTGTCCTCTCCATCCCCCCCACCCCCACCCGTCGGGGTATACAGTCCCCAATAAGCAAAGTGAGTTATTTAATAGCAGTCCTGAAAAGATTCTAGTAAAGTAAATGCCCATTTGATGCAATTTTATAAAAACAAATCTGGGGGCTGCTCCAAATATGGTTTCATACAACCCACTGTTCTTTATTCTGAGCATTTGTGATTTAGTTCAGAAAACGTGAATTTAAAATAAAACAAATTCCTATCAATATATTCAATTGTTTTTTTTTTTTATGAATTCAAATCAAACTTCAACAGATACGACACATTTTTTTATGTCGTCTTTGCATTTAGAGACATATTGCCGATGACTGTACATTTGACTTGAACATTAGCCTGCGGTTTGTTGCCAAAAGGCAGCAAAGGTGAGCACATACCTGGTAAAAGCAAGCGTCTTCCTGCAGCTCTTGCGTTGATCGCGCCTCACAGGATTCTTCAGACGAGAACAATTCCATCTCAATGTTTTCCCTGATGGCCAACAAGGCCCGCTTCCTTTCATTTGGCTTCATCCTCATTTGCAACAACTGCGGCGGCTGATTCGCCTGAGGACTGCGTAACTTTGCTCTTGGGAAGGTTTTGTTTTCAAACCTTTCCCTTTGCTTCCTTCACTGACCCGTTCTCGATGTCGCTTGTGTGTTTTTTCCTTCCCTCCTGACTTTGGATTTGAACACTGATTCAGTTCACTTGATGTCGTTTGCATTTTAAAACAGGCCCCAGTTCATTAGGCCAGCTGAGCGGCAAAATCATCTCTCCGGCCCTGATTGGTTGACATTTGCCCTCCTGGACTGCGATTGATTGGCCAAGAGAACAGGTAGGATTCAGCGGAGGGGAGGTGCTTTGTAAATCTCTGATTGCACAATATTGACCTTTTGCCGGACCAACAGTCAACAGTCCAGAAAACAATGCGGGTGTTGAGTCATGACAGCTGTGACTCCTCCACGTACTTGTAAGTGGGCGCAACACAGAACCATCCTGACCAATTCAAAGATCTCATTTAACTTCTCAAAACTCACTGGGGTCGACACTGCGTGACTGTTAACTCCCCAGCGTGCCAGAAAAGCCTTGGTGGGGAAAAAAAAACAAAAAACAAAAAGAAACTGTAACAACTGTACTGTGCTCGGAAAAAATAGGAAATGTCATCATCAACTTGGACTAAACTTTAATCACATCATAGATTGACTACTAAAAAGTTTAGTTCAACCCTTATTAGGAAAGAGCTTTTCCTAAGATGTACTTTTTTTTCACATATTTTTATCAGTCGCAACATTGTGTGTGTGTGTGTGTGCACGTGTTAGGCCAATAAGTGTCTCTGGCTGCAGGTCAACAAGTGAGGTAAGAAGTATGAAGCTGTTCCGTCTTCAGGTAAGAGCTCCAGGAATTGTGCGGGACTTGTCTCCGTGGCAACAACGACCAGCGTCTCTGTTGGTACAATAATACGTATGAATCTCAGATAGCAAATATTTCACAATCGTAAATTTGCATATTCTGAATTTAGTGCACGTTTTAGTTTTTTTGGGGGGAAAAAGAATCAGAAATTAACGCGCATTGACTGTGACTGTGTTGATAGTGAGTGAATTCGGGGTTGAGCTTCGACCTTTGAGAGCAGCCAACAGAATGCAATTGTCTGGCGCGACTCTTGTCCGATGGCAGAGTTCTGGGAGCAGTTTCTTCCACCACAAATCCTAAAGTTTGGACGGAAGGGGAAAGGAATGAGCTCGCGAGACACATAACACGCAGCCCGAGATTGACAAAAAGAGAAAAATCCTCCCAAGATCTTCGAAATCCGATAATCTGGCCATTATTGACTTTGATCGGAAGTGGGGAGTCGGGCCTAGTTCATCGGCATGCGGGTACCCGGCGTAAGAGAGTGGGCTAAGTGACAACATTCAAAGCAACACACATGACAGGCCGCACACTTTCAGGACTGCCAAAATATAAAGCCACAAGGATCCACTGAGGGGACCTGATTTTCCACAGATACAGACCATGTATTGATCTTGCAAGTGGTGATTGGCGTAGGCAATGATCGCCTGCGGGCATCGGTCCAGGAGGTCTTCGATGCTGCGATCGTACTGCCCCCTCCTGGTTGCACAGAGAAGGTGCAGGCTGAAGCCCCACAATGCTTGGTCTGGCAAACTTTCCAACAAGGGTGCGACCGAGGCCACGGGCAGGGACGGGCCACATAGGAGCGACTGCAGAAAACACAAAACGGGGTGAATGCACAGTATCCGGGATTGCAATTGCAGTTCGTGGGCCGAACTCTTACCTGCATTTTGTGCAACGCCTCCTGGTGTTCAAAACTGGTACTGTGAGGCGGACTGAGAACAATAAGCCAAGGATGCAGAGCACCATAATGGGAGCAGGAATTGATCTGAAACATAGCCACCACGCAGACATTTTAGTTGACGATAGTTTGACTAAAAGGTGCTATGTGAACAATTACACATTTCGTCATGGTTTTTGTCCATCTATAAAGTTTATAGGAGGGGGAAAAAAAAACCCCATTCTCATTTCCAGCAACTTTACCAGATCGTCGGCGCTCTTCAGTGACCTGCGAGCCAGAGGTTGGACCAGACGTTTGTCTGTGCTCGTGTGTGTCAGTCGGTCGATGTAGACCGAAGACAATCGGAACAGGAGCTCTTGAATGACGGCTTCTTGTGACGACGCCATAAGCGTGGCCTCCCAGAAATCCACCTGCAAGCTGTTTTCACAGCCCAGCACCTACGATAAGCGCACGCGTCAGAATGGCAGGAAGTGCTACACAGCCTCTGAATTTTCTCATGGAATATCATTTGGATGATTTTTGGGATACTTTACATTTCACAAACAAGGGAGTTTCATACATGTCAACCCCACGGACTTTTTTTGTTCTCAAATAGGAAGACAAATAACAGAGGAACTCTTCCATTCGCTTGCATGTACTTGTTTACAGTTTTCTGTATTGAGCATGTTGAAGTAAAAAAATAATAAGGGATACATATAAAAACTGCTTTGGAAGTACACCCCCCCCCCACACACACACACACTGTAAGCTGTAAGACGGCCTCCTATCGCTCCCAGACAACAATAAGGTTTCCGATGATTCGATGACACCCACCTGAAACATTTGGTCCACCTGTTCAAGTTGAACTTTGTTGTTCTCATGCAGGGCAACCATGGAAGCCACCAGCAAGCCGGGCTGGGACTTGGCCATTTGGTGACTTAACGCGGTGGGAGCGATGGCGGCGCGCTGGCCCGCACCTCCCCCATGCAGCAACAGCCTCGGCTCCTCAATGAAGCCGTACACCAACACCATCTAAAAACGCAACGGAAGTGGCGGATTTGATCCAGCGAGCTTAAAGTCGGACTGTATTTTGAGTGACGGGGATGACTCTTCCGAACTATGAAGAGAATGGCGGCGCGTGTCTTGATTTCAACGCGTTCGACAAACAAAACGCGTGATGCCATTGCACACGCTGAAATTCTCAAACACGCCGGCTGCCTCCTGACCTCCGCGTGTCTCTCCATCAGCTGCGCGTACTGCGCCAGGTCGTCCAAGCGCAGCGCCATGGTTGCCATGGTGATGGTCAGCGCAACAGACACGCCGGCGCTGGCCTCCAGATGTTGCAAGATTCGGAGTGTCCGGTCGGGACTGACATTTGTCATGGTCGGGCTGGCGCACGCGGCGATGAGCTGGGAGGGTTCCGATTGGCTAAAAATGTCGATGACCTCATCCGCTGCTTCCTAGGGAGACGAAAGAGAGACGTCCCGATGGGGTTTTCGTTGCGGTGGCGCCATTTGCAAACGTGTGCGGCTCACATCTGGAAGTGTGTGAAGACGATTGTGGCGACGTTACCTGAGCGAGATGCTGGTCGGTCTCTTCTAAAAGGTAATGCTTGAGGTAGAACAAAAAGCCCGGGCCGTAGGCGTGCGGGCTGCTTGGAAGGGGGCGATTCCTCGCCATGACATCGGTGACCGACAGGCCCGACATTCTGTAGTAAGGCAAAGCCTGATGACAGTGCCTCTGGCTTCCCCTTTTGGGACCAGAAAACAGGACAATGATTTACACGTCTTGAGGTCGGATGAAGAACGGTTTGGAATCATGAAGTCCTGGTGATAGTTTGTGAATATTTCTGATCCCAGGGGAAAATTTGTCTCGACTGACAGGGGTCAGCGGGTGTTGCAAGAGGGCACTTGGGGGTTCGGGCTCGTGTTGAAGAGCACCTGACCATGACCTCTCATCTGTCTAGAGTGAGCAGAAAGTGGATTTAACATTTTTCATGAGAGTTCGTTTTTATTTCATTTTGACTTTTTTTTAATTGTCATTTTGTCATTTTTTAGTGAATTAAGTTTTTCAATATTAAAAACATTTTTTTTTTCTAGTGAATTGAGTTTTTCAATATTAAAAACATATATTTTTTTTCTTGTTGTAATTTTTTTCAACAGATTTCTTTCATGATTTTACTACTTTTGATGTTTCCAAACTGCTTCGTTTTAGTTTTGTTTTCATTAATTAGTTATAGTTAGTTTTCTTTGTTTTTTTTAATAAAAGGAGTATTTGTTGAGTGTAAGATTAAATTTTTTTTTTAAAAAAGGGTCACTAAGTATTGTGTAATAAAGAAAAGCAAACTCCATTTCTCCAACGAGTGACTTTGGTTCGTCTTGGGCAACGGTTGTACCGCAATACCAAAACAAACACATTCACAATCAACGCCGTCATTTACAAAAAACGAAAACAGACGACATTTTGGCTCCAGTTCGAGTTAGTTTTGGTTATTTTTATAGACTTAAAATGTAGTTTCATTTAGAGTTCTTTCTATTTTTTTTAAAGCATTTTCATTCATTTGTTTTTTGTTTATTTTGTGAACCAAAATCCTTTTTCCCTTTCAGTCTTTGTTCCTCCTAAAGCCCGAACGAGATACTTTGGCCAATGTCATGCTTTCAACTTTGTGGGAACACTTTGGGGGAAAGACCCTTTTCTTTGGACGGAGGTTTGGACAGTTGTCAAGTACATGCAAACGTGGACAATTTTAGAGCTCTAAGGGGGTGATTTTATTTTCTGCGGGTGTAATACCACGCTGAGCTGAGTCTTGCGTCCGCACTGTTGAGTTTACGATCTTGGCCATGGGTTACCTGCTGAAACAGTCTCCCAGCTGCGCACAGTTCTCCTGGAATGCCTGCTCCGTGGCCGTTCTGTCGGGCGGGGCGTCTGCGGGGCCGCCGTTGCTGCTGCTGCGAAGGTGCGGTTGCGAAGACTGAAGCAAAGCCGCGCGCAGGAGGAGGTGGGCTTCACTGAGGAGGTGCCAAAGACTCTGCGCATGCTGCTTGTTCTGTGCATAATGCTGGCTGTATTCAACCTGACCACGCGGAGACAAATTGGTCACGTTAACGCATTTTGTCGAGGCGGCTCGGGGTGGAAATGGAGTCAGCAGGTCGACTTTACCATCTCGTGGTAGAGAGTGAGTGGAGGGACCGTTTCGACCACGTAAAGGTTCCATCCATGTCCGACAGCGCTGGTCTCCTTGGGAGCAGACATTGTCCACTTCCTGCTCCTGGGGTCAAAGGTCACACAAACAAGAAATTGGAAGTAGACTCAAAAAGAAGACGCTGACCCCGGTTGTATGGTCCAAGTATGAAAAAGTTTGAAAAAAATGTGTGATACTTGGCAGCCACACGCCGTCATTTTCATTAAGAATCTAAAAAAAAAAAAAAAAAAATACGACAGCGAACAAAAATATCAAGTGAATACTTAATACAGGTTTTTGCTCCAATTTACAAGGAAAAAGTCTTAGAAGTGAGAGTTGTCAAACGCGGTGATCTACCGGAACAGAGAGAGCAATGTGATGTCTAGTGATTGCGTGCCAACGAGAAAAAAAAAAAAGTGTTGCGTGGTTAGTGACCACAGGCTCGAAAAGCTGTGTGACTTTGCGATGTTGAGCCTCGACTGGTCCATGTCGG